CTCTCTCTCTTTTTCTTTCTTTTTTTTTTGTTCTAGTAATTTGTAATAGTCACAGTTGTTCGACAAAAAAATTCTCCAAATAGAGAAAAAGAATGGAGGAGGAACGGAAACTGTCATTGTTCATTTACTCCTCTTGTTTTAAAGACAATCCCACGCTTTAGAATGTCGAAATTTAAGAATAGGATTTTGAAATTCGAGCAGAAGCAGAGCATTTTGTAAATGATGCCAGTTGTGAGCGACAAAATCGTCAATAAACGGTGCAGGAGGTTTCCCATTGTCCACAAGCACTATCAGTTTACAAGTTGTAAGATGGCTTCTTGATTTTTTGTCTATGTTATATTGCTTTTATTAGGAATTTGGAAGCAAGATGGCAGTAGCAAGGCAGAAAAGTAAGAGGCTTTATACCTCAATCTTCCAGTTCAGCCGCTTCTTATCTTCTGGCCCACTTAACCCACCACCCCTTGTTCGTTCACGAAGGGTCGTTGTGACTGGTAACTATCTCGAAATCGGAAACTGCGTTGCTAATGATATTTTACGTGTACTCAGTGTAAAATAACCGGATAAGTGCTTGTGTATCTTAAACCAGTCGTTCTTGTTTGTGCAAAGGTGTCAAAGGCTTTATTAGGATTGAGGGGAAGTTTATGAAATCAAGTAATTTTGGGTTTGGTATTCATCCTTTTATATTTCTTGTCTGGATGTGTTGGGGATTTGGCGGAAGTATCCAATCATTGCAAAATTCTAAACCTTTTCAACTGTTAATAAATCGATAATTGAAAAATGTTGATTTATTTGACATATATGAAATTTTTAAATTTTAGTGAAAAATGTAGCGTGCTTGTGAAGTTTGCTTCACTTAGCTGTTGGGTATGTGAACTGAAACTAGTGTAGTTGGCGTCTGCAAGTGAAAGAGTATTTTTGTCACATAGTGTGTATACTTGTTTGTATACTAAGTAGAAAGGGCTTCACATAACTCGGTTTAAGAATAGTTTCAAACTCACCAAAACTGACTAAAACTGAGGAAGATTTTAACACTAATGACTTGTTCTTTAGCCAAGATGGACTACAAATCCTTCCCGGAATCCCTCAATCTAGATGTTGCCTAATTGTATTTTGTTTTCTAAAAATACCATATATTTTATGCGGTTACCCGATCTTTATTGTCAATTGAAAATTGTTAGTTTTCTTCTTCTAGTCTATATAGTTTTTTCTTGCTTTTTCTTTTTACTCTGGTATTTGTTATAGGATTAGGGGTGGTGACTCCGTTGGGTTGTGGTGTGGACGTGACCTGGAAACGTTTAGTGGAAGGGGATTGTGGAATTAGAGCCATTACCACTGAAGACCTGAAGATGAATGGATTTGATAGAGAGAAACAGTTGCATACTTTTGATCAATTAACATCCAAAGTTGCTGGAATTGTACCATGTGGATCGAACCTAGGTGAATTTAATGAGGAGCTGTGGCTTAATACGAAGGTGACCCTTATCAGATGTTGCTATCACTTTTTTAAATTGACATTGAATTGTTGACATATGTTGACATGTGTGTTTGTGATGAGGAAGATAGCAGTTATACCTGCTCGTTTATTTTCTTTGCTTAAAGTCGTGAATGCGTTGTACATAAATAATTAGGTGCGCTTTTTTAGTTTGTACGACGTCGTTCTAAGTGTTTGTATAATTCCTGTGAAACGACGTCGCATTCTCTTATGCATGAGAGAAAGAGTATAAAATGTACTGCATGAACAATTTTCAAATTTGAGTGAAATGAAAAATATCTGAAAAATCCAGATCTGAAATTCTACAACATATTCCAAAGAGAGTTTCAATTTGCAGTTGGGGGAAAGAAGTGGTGTAGGCGCCATAGAGAATGAAAAAATGACCTTGAGTTGTATGTTGCTTCCGATATACTTTGTTTGTGTGCAAACCTCTGAATTCCAATGTTGGGATTATGTACCTAAAAGTTGTGTAAACCCTCTGTTAGACCAAGTGCTAAAGTAAATTACTAAATCCAGTAATTGAAGTTTGTTGTAAATCATTTTTAAGGTCCGAAAGATAAGAATTTTCTTTTCTTTTACCTTTTCAAAAGAAAAATGGACCAGAACTCAAGCTATGTGATTGGCCGGCATGTAAGTAAATGATCTGAAGAAGTTTGTTAGATTATGTATTTAAATTTTCAGGGAGGGTCTTGAACTTTAAGATGTGTCATTTTTATATCCCAGGATCACAGGTCAATTTCAAGGTTTATAGGCTATGCTTTATGTGCTGCCGATGAGGCTCTAAGAGATGCAAATTATATACCCTCTACACAGGACGAGAAAGAAAGGACGGTAGATTTTCAATTTTTTATGCTGTTGAATTTTGTAATTTTTCTCAATGTTTTAAAAGCCATTAGGTGCTCAGTCCTTGCGCTTAGGAAAGAGAATAAAAATATTAATAAGTTTATGTATATATCTCATTGTACATAATTATTAAGATATATATATATATATATGTAGATATATAATATATAATTTAAAATAAATTAATTAAGATGGTTAAATTCAAAGATTATCTGATATGTAACATATTCCTTATAACTTTGACATAATTATACTTCTTTTTTAAGGTTAATAATTACGCCTTAAGAGCATCTACAATGCATTGCGTCTAGTCTTACCTATTTGGCATGTAAATAAACCCAAGTCTTTGATGACATGGATAAAACTATGTAAAATTGATAAAATTCACTCCAATGCAAGGAGACTAGGTCTCTACTTGGGTCTAAAATAGACTTAAGTGTAGACCGGGTCTCTTTTTCTCTAGTTGCTACATCAGACCCAGACTACATTTATTTGCATTGGAATATATATTTTTTTAGACTGGGTCTATTTCTTAGGTGGCATATAATTTTTTGTGGTTGAACCCAAAGCATTGTGGATGCTCTAATAGCACTTGCTTCTGGTTCAGGGGGACAACCTGGCAAATAGACATCCACAGGTAGTACTATAAGAATCAGTACTGAACATCCCCTGTAATCTATGATCTATCCCATGTGTATTATTATAATATATTTTTGTAAGTAAATTAAAAATTGAAATAAAATAAAATGGCATCTAGCCCACTTAGGTTGCCTAGCCAGCTCAAGCGTGACAAACTGGCTGCCTGGCCTAGTTGTCGGAACACCTGAAAGGGCCGGGTGCTGCCTATGTGGACTTTTAGATTAGTAATTTTTCTTCGCAACTTCTGATTTTTGATTTTAACATCATCAGGGTGTTTCTATAGGTGCGGGAATTGGCAGCATCACTGATATATTGGATGCTTCAAACATGATCTTTGAGAAGGTTCAATTCTTTTGTTTCCTACCTTACTAACATTCAAATTTGATAATTATTACTCGATTATAGTAAGAATATCTTCGAGAAGTTGTTTTGTATAATGTAGAAGTGAGGGGTCCCCTCAATCAGAACCAAGAGATATCTTGCTTCCTTGTGTTAATCTGTTTCAACAACACAACAATAGTTTTATTTTATATGAAAATTTGTGTTAGTATTATCATTTAATTATTTTTTTCGAATTTAGAAATTACGCCGGCTCAGTCCATTTTTCATCCCAAGGATACTTATAAACATGGCTTCTGGTCATGTGAGCATGAAGTATGGATTCCAGGTATGCAGTTAATTTATAACCATGCCTTCATTTACTTCTCTATCATTTGTCTATCATTGAGAATAATTCAATTAGTAGTGATCCCGCCCTTGTTTTCCATTTGTTGCCAGCAAACCTGTGGTATGTTAGGCTGATTGATTCCGCAGTTTATTGTAAGTAAAACATGAAAATTTCAACATTAAGATCTAAATAGATTGATGACTTTGTGTGTCAAATGAAGGTTGAGCCACATAAGACCACTCATTTTATAAGTTTTGGCTTGTAATCTATGTGCTCATAGTTTGTGGTCTGAACAATTAGTATCATTATTATGTTTGATAAATATGTACCAAAGCAAAAATTGTGCATTCTAGTCTTGGTTTTGAATCTAGGGACCAAACCATGCTGCAGTGACAGCTTGTGCTACTGGGGCTCACTCTATTGGAGATGCCACAAGGATGATTCAGTTCGGAGATGCTGATGTCATGGTTGCTGGGGGGACTGAATCGAGCATTGATGCTTTGTCTATTGCAGGATTTTGTAGGTAATCTAGACGAGCCTATAATGCCATCGATATCATCTAATATTTCTACCCCTTTCGTTGTTTGGGTGTCTAAATCTCTACCTTTTAAGAGAACGGATAATTCATATCCGGTTTCCTATCTATATGTGCACATCTTACTTATGGAGTAAGTTTGTGTCTATTGACCCATGGTATCAAAAGACACACTTCTGAAAGTTAAATCATGAAATTAATGTACTGAAAAAATAGAAATTTCCAGAGAAAAAAAATTAACCCTAAAAATTAGAACTACCAAAAAAAAAAAAAAAAAAAAAAAAAAAAGAACGAAAGAAAGAAAGAAAGAAAAACTAACAATAAAGTAAATGAAAATCTAACAATTGAACGCCCCAGAAGATACTCCATTTTACTTTTTGTTAATTTGGAACACACTTTGAAATGAGATGTCGGCATTGCCTGCTGAACTCGGAAACACATAAGGCTTTCTGCTAATTTTGCTATGAGATCAGTTTCTAAAAGCAATCTTATATGGCTTTTATGCAGGTCAAGAGCATTGACGACCAAGTACAACGGGACTCCTGAAGAAGCTTCAAGACCTTTTGATTGTGACAGAGATGGGTTTGTGTAAGTGTGATGGCTGTTATATTCTGTAATTACTCGACTTGATGTATTGTTATAAACTCTCCTGAAATACAGAATAGGTGAAGGTTCCGGCATCCTTGTTTTGGAGGTGAGTGTTATCACAAGTACGCTAAAAATTATTTTTTTTCTTTTTTTATCACCAAGTTAAAAAGATCCTCTAATTTAAGGGAAATTACATAACAAAGTGTAGAAAAAAACTGTCAGGAGCTGGAGCATGCAGAAAGGCGTGGAGCTAAAGTTTACGCTGAAATTCGTGGTTATGGGATGTCAGGTAATTTTTTCTTCACCCATCTGAACTTTTTTATATCATCATTTCATTCAGAAAATGAAAAATAGTAATAATACCAGATGCTGTTTTCTTCTCAAGGTGATGCATACCACATTACTCAACCACATGGTGATGGAAGAGGGGCCATTTTGGCTATGAAACGTGCTCTGGAGCAGGTATTCGGCGCATATTTTGATTATTAAAATAGAAATTCAGAGTGCCTTCTTTCACAGTTAGATCCAAAAATGTTTATGGGGACGACTTATTTGTGCAGTATTTTGCACGCAAAAGGTGAGAATGGATGTAAAAAATCTAAATGATCCAATTATCCATGTAAATTTGGAATATAACAAAATCGATAGACTGTTCATATGTTTATTGAATATCCATAAGAAGATGATGTAAGTTGATCTGTTGCTCCTTTTAAAACATTTGATGTGCCTATTGCTGGAATTTATTTAAGGGCGAAGTGCAAACTAGAAAAATTATTCCCAAGGTTTAGCCTAATCACAAAAAAGTGTAATTATGTTTCACTTTACTTAGTACTTTGTTAAATTTAGACAAAAATCAAGGGAGTGTTTGTAATTTTTAAAAATAGTTGTTTTTTTCTTTTCCACAAAGGCTGGATTTAGTGAACTTTTAATTTAACGCAAATGTATTATTCCTCCATGCAAATGAAGCCAGTCTGAAATTGGCAGCTCTCATTGAATTACAGCTTCACCCATAAGAGGGAGGGTTGTACACTTATTTTGAGCTTCCAGCGGAATTCTCGAGCCCAGGCTAAATTGTTGAAATTGCACAACAATAACTAGAACACCTTTACTTAATTGCTTTTTATGTCGTTTACGTAATTTATTTTTGCAACGCATTATGCATACATACATCCTCTATTGCCCAACAATTCAGTGAGCAAAAAAGGAATTTAGACGATTTGTATCATCCACAAAGACAAAAAAATTATCTCATTAACATTGATTTGTTTATTGTCATTGGCAGTCTGGCCTAAAGCCTGATCAGGTGGGTTACGTTAATGCACATGCTACATCTACTCCTTTGGGTAATTTAAATTTAGTTAAGTTATCATTTATTTATTTAGTACTATAAAAAATGCGGTGAATGTTGTCCCAAATTTTGTCTGAACTGTCAAAAACTCATGCAGGGGATGCTATAGAAGCCAAGGCTATTAAGTCTTTATTTGGCAGTCATGCAGACACTCTGGCCTTGTCCTCCACAAAGGTAATCATTGGTATATATTAAAGTAAATTTGTGTAACCAGAATATTTGTGAATGTGAAAAAAAAAAAAAAAAAAAATCGTTTTACAACTTTTTACTCGTTAGTTTTGTGTAGAATTTTAGCAGAAATTTCCATCCTACTGTCTTTCTTCATCCTGAAATCAGGTTTCTAGGTCGTTTTAAGTAGCTTCGTGTCTCAACATTGCAAGAAAAAGGAATATTTTGATTTAGGCTGCAGTTTTTAGATGGCACAGTTGCAAAATTAATCATTATTACTTACTGGTAAATATAACGTCAGGGTGCTGTTGGGCATCTTCTCGGGGCAGCGGGGGCAGTTGAAGCATTATTCTCAATTTTAGCTATACACCATGTAAGCAAATTATTCTTAAACTTGCAAAGTTAATATTTTTTTTTTACTTGTTTCGTCCTTTGTCTTTTATTTGGCCACACAAGGAAATTTTGTCGAGGCAACACTTTGCACTTTTAATTGCAGGGAATTGCACCCTTGACACGCAACCTGAAGAAGCCCGATCCGATTTTTAATGCCGATTTCATGCCTTTGAGTGCTTCAAAGAAGATGCAGATTAAAGCTGCCATGTCCAACTCATTTGGCTTTGGGGGAACAAATTCATCACTGCTCTTTGCTGCTCTTAGTTGAGGAGAACATGAATTTTGTGCACACTTGGTTGGTGTGTTCTTGTTTATACAGTTGTGGATGTTTGGTTGGCTTATGTTTGTTTTGTGTGGAAGCAATTCATGAAGAGAAAATTTGACGTGATTAATAGGAAATATATCTGTGGGAAATTAGTTTTTTTTTTTTTTTTTTTTTTTTTNTTTTTTTTTTTTTTTTAAATCACGTCACATTGTGCTCGGTTCGATTTCTTTTCTGTGAAGGAAAACTTTTGTCATGGTTCGGATTGAAATAAGAAATCATTTAGTTGTGGCATTTTGGCATTGAGTTTTTGTTTTAAGGCGTAATTTTAGATATACTTAACGAAACGAAAAGATTTGTAAAAATCTCATGAAGTATTATTATATTGCACTATTATAAAAAATGGTTAAAATATTTGCATTTATACCTAGATTCGGTTACCATAACTGAAAGGATGTAACCTTTCATTGAGGTGAGGACAGTTTTTTCACGTTAAAAAATCAAGAGAATAACCAACAAGGAAGGTAATTAATTCCTGAAAATTAGGATGTTGGTTGAGTGAAATTAGGAAAGATACATCTTTTGAATTTCTAGCGCCCACAACAACGAAATTTTAGATAAAATAAATCGATGGATATATTTGTTCATGTAGCAGCAGATACTCCTGGACATTAATTTTCATGAAGCAAGTAATTTTTTTTTTTTTTTTTTTTTTTTTATCATCTCGATCGATTTATTTGATATTCTCGATCTATAATTTTGTTTATATTTGAAATGAAATCATGTTGGCCGTATACAAAAACGTATATTTTCTGATTATTCTGTGTTTTAGTAGATGGATACGCAATTGAAGATCTTTGTACATTACAATGGTGAATGGGTCATGAATGAGTACATAAACTTTCAAGTTTCGGGTATACTAGTTCGTAGAAATTGCAGATTCAACGAACTATGTGATGTACTGAAGGAGAAGCTTGGAATCACGTGTGAAACTTCTGTTCTTGAGTTGAAATACAAACTGAAGGACGGATATCCCCTCATTTGCATAGACGATGACATGAGTTTTGCATTTTACGTTGACTTGAAAATGGGTGAGACAGACTACACGAAGTTCCCAGTTTGCGTGGTTGTGAATTCTCCATTTAATGGACAAGCCACGTTTGAGGGTGCGCAAAGGGTGAATGACGTAAATGATGAAACAAATGTAGCACCTTTGATACATAAGGATCTCGACAAATATACGAAGATAAGAGATGATTCACTCAACTTCATGTCTTTCGCTCATGGAGTAGCAGCAGATATGGCAGATGCGATGATATATACGGAAAATATACAGTCTATATACCCAGACAGCGGACATA